GCAGCTCCATCTTGTGCCCCACCCCACCCTGTCTGGGCAGTGCCTGCCCCCTCCCTCCCTTCCTTTACCATGGGGGGGTGTTGATCTGCACCCCCATGCCCCTTCCCTCCCCTTCCACCACAACAGACTTACCAGCTGGAGGCAGCTGTATCAGAAATCAGATTGGTATCGGCTGATATGCCTCCTTAAATATCGGCTATCGGTATCGGCCCCCAAAATCTCTGACGGAGCACCCCTAATAACCCTGTTCCTATAGTGCTATCCATTGCTTCAGCTCAGTTTCTTTCCCCAAGTCTCTTTCCCAAGCCTGCATTCGCTTAGTATTCCTATTTGTCCTTTTCTTTATTAAAATTACATACATTTTTAAGATTAACCCTTTTTCCCTTGGGTCCCCATATATCAGTTGCTCAAAAGGGGTAAGTGATTTAATGAGAACTTTTAAAAATAATTATTTTGAAAAAAATAGACTCTTACCTGCTTGGGATTATCACATTTTTTGATAAGTTTTTACATCCTGTCCCAAAAAAGAATTGGCATAATTGGGTAAGACTCAACCCTAATCTATATAGAGCTGTAGATCTGATAAGTTCTAAGGAGGAATTCTTTATTTCTAATAGGGAAGAATGAGGGAAAAACAACTTATCTCGGGATCTCAAAGTAGTCTGGATCCAATTTTGGGACCTGAATTTCTTTCCTCCCTGGCATACACCTGAGAAATCAATTTACTTTTACTATTCTCATTCTATTGCAACCCATAGCTTGGAATTAAGTTTTACACAGTAGTTGGTAATAATCTTCAACTGTGGTGTGTTGATAGTGTGCCATTACACTGGGGGCTGCAAAATCTCCAATCTTAAATTGCCTGTGTAATACTGATGCATTCACCCTCTTCTTTTTCCAGATGAATTTCAGGAGAACAGCTTGCCAAGCCTATAAATTGCTCTCTGGTGTATGCGTATAGGTAAACATTGGAATAAAAAGAGAAGTTTTAGCAGTATTTTTATTTTAATGGTGGCTGTTCTACCTAGCTAAGAAATCTCCATTTCCACCCACTCTTTCAATCCTACTTTGATACAGTATGTCTGAACACCCCTTCACCTCCCCAAATGCTTTTCAGCTCTCAGAAAACTTTGTAAAAATGGACACAGGCTAGTGAATGGGAGTGCTCAGGGATGATGTAGGGAATAATCGTTGCTGCATTAATGCAGGGAATGGGGCCAGATGACCCTAGAAGTCTCTTCCAACCCTGTGTTTTAGTGTTTAAAAGGTAATGAATACACTGTACACCAGATGTTTCCAAACTTTTTCTTACTGCATACCCCCTTCCAGATTTACCAGCTGCCCCCATATCCCTACCAGCAGATATTTAATATTTTAACCCCTTAAATGCCTATTATTATAATGAAAAGTAAATTTGCCATTACACAATTTCTCCCATGTATGCCCTCCCAGAGATGTCTTATGTATCCCCAGGGGTACCCATACCACAGTTTGGGAACCCCTGCAGTACACTGTCATTAATACTGCAGTAACAATAATAAAATGCACTGCATTATTGCGTTACAGATTATCTTAATTTGTAATGTAAATAGTCATTAAATGAATTTAAGAAAAAAAATATACTGTAGCTGTATACGTATCAGAAAGAAACCCAGTTGCTGTTGATCAGACAACACTCCCTGTATCAGCATCAGCTGATTAGGAGCAGCGTAGCACCAGAGCACTGATATGTCACTGCAAATGAGCATGTGCTGTTTTAGGCGCTTATATGAATGAACAAGCTAAGTCTCTATATACTTTAACCAAATTTATAATCATTCAGTTGGCACCATGGTTTCACATGGTTTCGTGATGGTGGATCTTGATTTAGTAGTATATTCCTGCCATGTGCATGGCATCTTGTAATGCAATTTGGAAAATTTAATTATTCACTTTGGATTTTGCTTCTTTTCAGATTGAACAAAGCGGTGAGATCCCTCCTTCATGCTGTAATTTTCCTGTGGCTGTTTGCAAAGACAAGATGTTTGTGTTTTCAGGCCAGAGTGGAGCAAAGATCACCAACAATCTCTTTCAATTTGAATTCAAGGAAAAAATGTAAGTATCTAATTCAGGTAAACTCACCTACACACTTTTCTGCTCAGAGTGAAAAATCATCGTAATAATAATATTAAGGAAAGGACTTTGTTTCATAATTAAAAATGACTGTTCTTTCTAACCCTAACTCCCTTCTTTTTTAATTAGAGACTTATCAGGCTGATCTGAATCCTATATTGATGATATGATAGCTTGATCTTTTGCTTTGGCTAGATACAGACTTCTTAAAAAAGAAAATCGAACAGATTTCCTTGAAATAATAGCTACCGTACTCAGTACTGTCTACTTTGTCAGTTCCTATGACATAGTACACAACTATTAGGGCTGTGTGAGGCTTCGGACAGCTTCAGATCCGGAGAAGCTTCAGACGCTTCAGGATCCAAAGCAGCACATCCGGGTTGAAGCACTGGCCTCGTTCAGCTTCCCGAAGCGGTTCGGAGCTGCCTCGGAGATCCAGCCATAGGGTATAATGGGGAAACAATAAACTATCTATAACCTTGTGTTTTGTCCAATTTGGATGAAATTTTTAGGGATGGTAGACTCTGCAGAGAGGATGAAGCCTGCCGAGTTTCAAGAAGATTGGTGCAGGGGTTTGGGGGGAACTGTACCCCAAATTCTTGAAAGCAAACTCATGTCACGTCTAGGTGTTACAACGTAGTGGGGTGAAAACTGCAGGGCTGGTAGCTCTTACTGAGGCCACAAAGCCTGCCAAGTTTCAAGAAGGTCGGTGCAGGGGTTTGGGGAGAACCGCCCTGCAAGCTGTGGACAAGCAAAACTGGTGCCATGGGTGCTTGTGGGACTGACTGTGTCTGTCTTGGGGCGGAGAGGGGAGTCACTACTGCAGACCTGGCTGCTAAGCTGCTGTGTTCCCAGTTACCAATCAATCACTCATGATTCACTCAGGGACCAGGGACTCGGGGACCAGCTCAATACACAGGACCTAGCTACTACATAACGACTTAACCAGCATCAATTAGCACCTACAACACCAGGCTAAGGAGAGGAACGAATCAATACAGACAATCAACTGCCCCAAAACACAGTCTTGGCACGAGTTTTGTCTGTCAGCAGCTAGGGGTGCAGGGCCCCAGGACCCTCCTGCACCGATCTCCTCCACAGCTGGCAGGTGTCGTGCCCACAGCAGGGGCCACCATCCCTGCAGCTGTCACCCCGCTGCGCCTGAACACACACAGTGTCACCCATGGCACAAGCTTTGCTTGTCCGCAGGTTGAGGGGCAGTTCCCCCCCCAAACCCCTGCACCGATCTTGAAACTTGGCAAGCTTTGTGGCCTCAGTAAGAGCTACCAGCCCTGCAGTTTTGATCCCCCTGTGGTGTAACACAGCTGTGACATGATTTTGGCTTTCAAGAATTTGGGGTACAGTTCCCCCCAAATCCCTGCACCGATCTTCCTGAAACTTGACAGGTTTCATGCTCTCAGCATAGGCTACCATCCCGTAAAGTTTCATCCAAATTGGACAAAAAACAAAGTTATAGATATTCCATTGATTCCCCGTTATACCCTATGGCCGGATCTCCGAGACGGCTCCGAAGCTTCATAGCCACTTTGGCTGGATCGAGACGGAAACCCTGTCCAGAGCTCCGGATTGGATCGCGGCCATCCGAAGCGGCCAGACCCAAAGCTGGAACGGATTGCTGCCGACTTGCTCAGGCCTAACAACTGTGTCATATCATTTGATGAATTAGGTTGTTGCCTACTGTAACAGGGTTCCTGACTGAAGCCCTGTTACTTGAAACATCTCACAGCCTGTAGTGATTTATGGCCCGGCAGGGCGAGGAGACGCCCCACGCCTGTGGAGAGGGATATGAAGAGGACGATGCCTAAGGAAAGTTGCCTTTGGGCACCACGAGAAAGAAGAGAGGAGCTGCTGGAGGGGACTCCCATGAGGAAGGATCTGAAGGAGGGATCCGTGACACAAGGTCAGCACTGACCGAGGGACTCCCGCGTCCGGGGCTGGCAAACCACAGTCGCTACTTACAGGAGCCTACAGGAGTGGCGGTGAGTCCGAGGAAACCTGAGTTGCCACGCTGGGAGAAGCCGCAGTTCCACACAGGGACGTGGTGAAGCAACGCTGAGGCAGAAGGGGGACGCAAGCCTAAGACCCCAGAAGAGATCTTGCCCATCCACCCAAGAACTCGAGGGGAGAGGGGAGCTGGGTCTGAGGACGGTGAGCCCAACTGCGGGGAGATTCCTGGATCTGCTCTGGCACAGAGCGGGGCAAAAGAGACCGGGCGGCACCCGTAACGAGCCGCTAATGAGTTAATTGGCGGTGGGGAGCTGAGACGTGGGCAAAGAAAGAAATCTTTTGTATCTTTTTCCTTTTTCCTTATTATTTGGAGCAGCCAATGACTTTGAACACAGGGGGTTACAGTGAGTGACCCATATAAGAAGAGGCAGATGGGGACACCCTACATAGGGCAGTTGGCGTAGAGCGGGAAACCCGCTGGGACTGGTTACGGACACAGCCATAAGCCAGCAAAACATCTGCTGGCACTTACCGGATAGATGAGCCACTGGGGACCCTCTTCGGAGCACCGGGGTGATCCCGGGAACAGTCTGGACGAGCTGCTGCCTCCCCTCCCCTCTGTAAAAGAAAGAATAAAGAAAGCACCTAGATTATGAAATAGACCAAACGTGGTCCTTCTGCGGGTACTAATCATTCTAACATCTCTTCCCTCCCCATTTCTTTAATAAGATCGAAGTCATGGCAGGCAAGAACCAGGGGATCAGGCGGTACTCTGCGCGGACATGCTAACACCTGCAACAGCTCATGCATGCCTTTCTGAATCAGTCTGTAAGGTACCACCTTGTCAACTTTTGCTTGTCTAATCCATATAATATTTAGGGTATTCTTAGGGAGTTAATTTTCAAACCTCAGTTTTTCAGTAAGGAATTTTAAAATATTTACTCTGTTTCATATCTTTTTCTCAGTTGGACACGAATTCCTACCGAGCACTTACTTCGGGGTTCTCCTCCTCCTCCACAGCGAAGATATGGCCATACCATGGTTGCCTTTGATCGCCATCTCTACGTGTTTGGTGGTGCGGCAGATAATACATTACCTAATGAACTTCACTGCTATGATGTAGACTCTCAGACATGGGAAGTTATCCAGCCCAGTCCAGATAGTGAGGTAGAAAATGCTCTGTCTGTTTGCTCCTTTTTCTCTTTTTTATGTATTTTACTGCCCTGATAAAAATTGCTGCTTAAGCAAATAACACATTATAATAACCAGAGATCCTGTTTTCCTCTGTTTAAAAATGGCAAATTCTCTGATTTTAAAAAACTGTCAGCCTTCAAGGGAAAACCTGCTATTTCCCATGTTTTTCTCCTTTTAAAGGAGAAAATCTGTACTTTCCTCCTTAAAAGAGAGAATCCACATTTTTCTCCTTAAATTGAGAAGAACATCCATGTTTTTTCTGCATTTTTCTGTGGTGAATGGAAAACCCAGATCCCTGATGATAATTTATGATTGTTAATGTCTCTCTTTCCACCTAATGTTTATAGGGTATTGTGAACAAATTCCTTAGAATGTATCATAACTGTTGATAGTCCCTAACCCATTGGCATCATTTTAAAGACCTTCTGGAAAAGAATTAAGAGGAACATAAAACCTGACAGAAAATCATAGCCCTGCATGTTTCTGAGCAGGAGTCAACCACTAATGGACAATTCTCAGTAAGAGAAATAGAAATGCAAAAAGTTATTGCAGTACAAGGCATCTCCGTACCTAAAAACTAGGTTCCTGACTCTGGGAGAGAATTTACAAACCCGCACTGGGTGCTCAAGTTTCCTATACTTCATAGGTGTAGATTTAGCCACTTAGGTTCAAAATTCACAACACTCAGCGTGCCGAAGTTGGGGGAGATGCCTAAACCATCCACTCTGCTGGATTTCTTTGAGGGTGTTAGGCTTCGTGGTTTCCCTGTTTTACCTGTGGCAGGTTAGGGTGTTAGGTGTGTGTCGTGTCAGGGGTTGATGGCAGTCTTATACAGAGTTTAGATTATGGTTTGTATGGGGTGGTTTGGATTGGACATGATCCTGCCTCAGGCAGGGGGTTGGACTAGATGTCATCTGGAGGTCCCTTCCAGCCCAACTTCTCTGTGACTCTAAGGGTGATCCAGTTGATGTAATACAGGGGCTTTCAACCTTTTTGGGTCAATGTACCCCCAGCGGCCGGCTGTGCGGGGGGAGGAGGGGGCAAGGGGGGTGGCACACGGCCAGATACGGAGTGGGGCTCAAGGCTGGATGTGGAGCAGGGGCAGCCACTGTTCAGGCTTCCCCCACCCCCATGTCCGGCTGGTTGGGTGGTGCCTACACAGTAGCACAGGATCACGAATGGCAGCGCTCCATCCTTGCCAGCCTGCACATACCCCCATGGGCCTTCTCAAGTACCCCGATATAATATATTTGGATTTTCACTAAGGCTTTACCAAGGACCCTTGACCAAAGGCTTCTTGAAAAGAGAAAAAAACCCCAAAACTGAATTGCCATGGGATTGAAGGGAAGGTCCTTTCATGGGTCAAAAGCTGGTTGAGAGATGAGACAAAAAGGCTCTAGTGCTAAATGGTCATTTTTCAGGATGGAGGAGGGTTATTAGTGAGGTCTCCCAGGAATCTATCCTGGGCCTGGTTTTGTTCAATGTTTTTATAAAGGACCTGGAAAACGAAGTGCACAATGAACTTGGAATAATTTAGTATCACCTATACACTTCACAAGTCGTCAGATCCTAAGCACGTGGTAAAGAGCTGCAGAAAAATCTCCCAAAACTGAGTGGGCAAAAATGTGGCAGATGCACTTGTTAACTCTGAAGTTCAAAGTAATACACACTAGGAAAATAACATCAACTATGTATACACAATACTGGCTCTGAAGTAGCCATTATGACTCAGGAAAGAGACCTTGGAGTCATTGTTGATAGCTCCCTAAAAACATTGACTCAGTGTCCAGAAGCAGCAACCTAAAAAGCCAATAAAATGTTTGGTATCATTAAGAAGGGAATAGAAAATGAAACAAACAACTTTGTTTTGATGCTGTATAAATCAGTGAAGCATCCACAACTTGAATACTGTGGGCAGTCCACATCTCAAAAAGGATGTAGTGGAATTTGCAAAGGTACAGAGAAGGACAACATAGGGCACAACTGTGCTGTGATCAGGAGAGCAGAGCTAGTGTGAGAGCCCGGAGGGTGAGGGGATGGTGGACAACAATTCTCTGCTTCTGCTAGGAAGTGGATGTGTTTGAAACTGACCAGCACTCCTGACATGAAACTGACCAGGTCTACAAGTGGAGGAAGCACTGAGGGTTCTAGTCATTGGATAAATGACTGTCTAGGTATTCATAAATCAACTGCTATAACCACTCAGCTGTCCTCAGAAGCCTCTGGGGAATTGTACCCACTAGCAGCACCACAGCATCAACTCTTTGAAGCACTTCATGTTTCAGTTTGTCCCTGCCTAACTCAGATATTCTGGCCTTGGTGAAATTTTCTGGGTTTTATTATTCACGAGGTTAGACAAGATGATCATAGCAGGTTTTTTTACTTAAAAAAATCTATGGGTTGCGGAAGATGGATTTGGAGCCAGATGCTTTTAACAGTCAGGGGATTAAAGAGATAATTTGAAGTTTAGTCCCAGTAGAGACTAGAGGCTTTTTAAAGTAGAGTGTTATTTTTTTCCTTTTGTGACGGCTAGTAATGACTAGATGTTCTGGAGAAAGGGCAAATTAGGTTTCTTCTTCAGCTGTACTTCCTAGTGATCAGATACTCTTCTGTCTCCTATTTTACAGAATCCATCCCAGCAGGCAGCACTGATAGAGAAGCACATGACTGAACTGCTCTGACCCATATAAAATAATGTATTAATTTAAAGTGTCATACACAGGCTTCAGAGTTAGTGCTTCACTGAGACAATGGAATAGTTTACACTTCTGTTTCAGATTGTCAGTAGAATGAGCACTCTGTTTATGTACAGAAATTTTGGAAGATATATCTAAATCCATAAGCACTAAAAATGTTTATTTTTGAAAATAAATCTTTGATCTGAGACAGACTCCCAGCAAGGGACATATTCTGGTAGATACTGTCACTTACAGAATATTGTAGCTTTGCTTATATAAAATGTCAATAATTCAAAGAAGTTTTATGAAAGAGAAGTATCATTAAAAGTGGCTAGAAGGAATCCTTTAGACAGCTTCATAGTTGTTAGGGTTGGAAGGGACCTCAATAGATCATCAACTCTGACCCCCTGCCCTGGGCAGGAAAGAGCGCCAGTCATGGTTTCATATAGTGAAACCAGTCCTAGAACATACATCAACAAGATTGTCCAGGCCTGCATTGCTATTTCATTTCAGGATTGTTGTTCTTCCCTTTCTCATTGATGTTCTTCTATTTTCAGGCAAATCCTTTTTATGAAAAAATCTTTTTCAAATATTGCTCTGTTTTTTGTGCTTTTGTTTTCCTAGCTGCCTAGTGGGAGACTTTTCCATGCTGCAGCCGTCATCTCAGATGCCATGTATATCTTTGGAGGGACAGTGGACAATAATATTAGAAGTGGAGAAATGTACAGATTCCAGGTATTCTAGAGTGCCAAGCAGAAACAATAACCTAATTGTTTATGTTGATTAATTTTTTTCCATTATAATTGCCCATTGTCATTAATTAGCCAACACTATAGTTTAACTGTTCTGACTTGACATTTTCCACGTTTACTCTCAAAATCTTTTTTTAAATGTTTCAGCTAAAACAAGTCAGCTAGCTTACCAATGTTAAAAATGTCTTACAGACATTTCTTTTGGGATCTCTAACATCTTTGTGCTTTGTGTCAGGTGCTTGAAATACAGAAGGGGGTGATTTGACTGAAGCTTTAATTCTCTAAAAATTCTGTTTCTACATCTCTGATTTAGTTAGTTTGTGAGGTGAATATCTACCCTGCCTTCTGCCAGACTTCAGACTAACATGGCTAACTACCTCTATTTCTGCATTGTCAGTTGAGGTTTGTTGCCAAAATCTGCAAACTTTCCATCTATAATAAGCATAGTTTGACTCTTCTGATTATCCATGTATGCTAACCTTGCTTTGCTGCTGACAGTATGGCAGCTGCAGAGTGTTGCTGTATGTGTCCCAGGCTCCATATAGCTGCATACATGGTAGATACAGCTGTAGAGCCACAACAGAAACCAGGAAGGAGGGCAGGGACCTAGGTGGCAAAGAAGCTGTTTGAAGCCATAGTGAATGTATTCTACTCTTAGTTTCTTAATTGTCTTCTAGTCTGCCTCTTGACTCCTGTAAGTCCCAGAAGTTAGCACCCTTAGTGTGGTAGTGATACATCTGAAGTATATGAGGTATTTCTCCCTTGTGGCTGAAAGGGAATATAGATGTTGTAAATCTAGGGAATTTCAGGGACAAGTTGGCAGAGCTACACCTTGTGACAGCAAAATCCTAATAACTTTAGGTTGTTAAGTTTTTTAAGTTGTGGAATTTCCAAAAGTATTCTGCACCTAGGTGGGTCTTTTCTCCACTGATTCCTGACATTCACATGCCCTTTTGGTTTTGATCCCTGCAAAAGAGTTCAGAGGAGAGGTGTCATGAAACTCCTTGGTGGAATTTTGTTTCCCTTTGTATGCCTCAGGGACAGCTTTCTAATCCAGTACATAGTGATTCTGTTTCCTGTGTGGACTCATAGGTATGTGTACATAGACTGAGCATTTGCAGTAGACTACACACTGGTCTGTACAGTCGTACATCTATCTGGGATGCATACTTTAATCTAAGTCGCAAAGATGTCATTGGCCAGAAAGCCATGATTTGCATTTGAGGGGTGGGGGAAGTGGAGGAAGAGGACCCTACCATGTTTTATCCCTAGTAATTGAGCGGTTAGGGTACTCAACCAGAAAGCCAGAGACCAAGGTTTTAGCACCGCCCTGTTGTAGAGATGAGGGTGAACCTGCATCTCTGACTATTCCACGCTATGCTCTAACCACCAAGCCACAAGTTTAGGAATTGCCAGGGCTCTCCTTGTAAGACTAAGCCACTGCCCCTTGCATTTACTAGTCATTGGATAAAATGAATGGAGAGCAGTGCAGTGGGGACATTTCTGCTCTCTTGGGAGTAAAGGTGCAGGCTGGACCCAAAAGGTGTACTCCCTTCTAGTGCAGCAGCCATCTCACTGAGTTAGAGACCCTCTAACTTATTCCCTTTCTTCTGGCCCCACACTATCTTCCTCTCTTGACTGCCCAGGCAGCCAGCTTCCAAGAGAGGGCTGGGGCTAATTTTTCTGGGACTTGTAATCAGGCATGTGAGCATCCTACCTGCATGGCTACTGGGGCTAAAACATGAGATGGTCTTTCCCCTGCCCCCTTCATTTTCCCAGCACTTAGGCTCAGGTATATGCACATGTAGCTGCTCTGCTGTGCCTGTTCATTCTATGCATGTATACTTACACATCCCGAGCATAAAGCAAGGGCGAAAAACAACCAGGTAGACAGCTAGAAAACTGTCATTTAAAATAGAATAGAATTTCAGCTGGGCTCCCAAATCTTGAAACTTGCAGTTTTTGACGTCATTCTTTTGTGTTCTATCACTTCAGTTTTTTCACAAAGTTATTACTATGCAGGAGGTGCATCCTGAGCAATTGTTAATGTTAAATCAGTGTGGAAATTCAGTGGCAATCTTAACCATGAAGCTGTTGAAGTGAAATAAACTATAACAAGTTTTATTTTTTTCTAATTTCAGTTTTCTTGTTACCCAAAATGTACTTTACATGAAGATTATGGAAGACTCTGGGAAAACAGACAGTTCAGTGACTTGGAGTTCGTTTTGGGAGAGGTGCGTTTATTCTAGTGAAAATATTTGAATTTGACAGTTGTCTATCCTTTCTGGCCATACCAGAAGGACACACTCAAGGTGTTTCCAGAACTGGGAACTAAGACAGCTATTTCTATAATGCTGTCCAGCATATCCAGAGAGATTTTTGTACCTACTCTGTGTTCATTTATGCAATTATGTCACTTACTTTGTTTGGTAATATGTTGCAGAGAATCAAGGAATGTGAGGTACACGCTAGATTGAATTGCTGATTCCTTAGTGGTAGTACTTCTATTATGCAGAAGTCATTGAAACTTGAATAAGGTACCTGGACATCGGCAAGAGTTAGTGATTACCTATATTGGGCACATCACTACAATTGCTAATGCTTGTTAATTATCCACCCATTTTAAAATTCAACTGGCCTGTGTTTGCATAGTTAATTTAGAGCTCTTTGTCAAAGGCTATGGGTGAATAACATAGATCTTAATACTTTGGCTTTTGTTCTAATATTTATTGACAACTTGTTATTGGCTTACAGTTGAGCTGAAGCACACAAACACAATTTTCTTTACCAGTTTACATCATCTTTTAAGTTGAGATGCTGAAAACTTCTTAAAAATTTACAAAGCAGCTGACTTATATCCCTGCATGCCTTCAGAGGCAGATTGCTTGGGATAGTTCTTCAAAGCATTTCAGTCTATAATATCTTATGGTAATGAGCTTCACAGTTAATTTGTTAATTTTGAATTTTCCACCTTTCAGTTCCATTAAATATCCCTTGTTCTTGGTTTATGAGGAAGGGGAATCAGAAATCTTCACTGTTCAGTGTTGCATATGCTTTTATTTTATTCCTTTATAGTTCTCTATTTTCCAGTCTCTCTTTCTGGTAGCGTGTGTCCAGGCCTCATAGAATTTGTCCTTTGAATGTGATTTTATTTCACATTCACATTTCTGAAATGTGAATTTGAATATTACTCTCATCTATTTCTCTTTCTTCCCTGCTGCTTTATGTGCATGACCTGCACCTCCAGTTTTCAGTTTGTCAACTCACTGCCCTTTTTTTCCTGCCATGTCACCTACAACGGCTAAGTTTTATTTAAAGATACAAACAAAAAACCCAGGCCCATACAGAGGAACATCAAAAGGTGTGGGCAAACATGCGTTTTAGCCACTCCGAAAGGGAAGAGGAGCTACTGTTCAGGAGTGCATATTAGCACATTAGCCGTAAATGTTCCATCTACATGGTCCTGTTGTGATATAGGCTAGAAAAATCAACCTGATTTATGACCCTGAGGTTAAAGTTGGAGTGTTTTTGCAACACTTGTATAGGCAGTCCTCAGATTTTAGAGACAATTTGTTCCTGAAAACCTTGTTTTAAGTCGAAGCGTTGTAACTCGGAACCAATTTTCTCATAAGAAACTATGTTATAAATGGGGGATTGGTTCCTGAACCAAGGCCCGATACCCTATTTTCACCCAAAATACCCCAGAATTTTGTACTCGATCAATTATAGATGAGTAATATAGCTACATTAATGTATTTATATTGTAAATAGCAATCATATTGATTTGAAAGGACTTCTTTGAGGTGACTTTGCTGGACTTTTTGAAGGGCTTGTGGTTGGACCTTTTGAAGGGATCTTGGCTGGAGTCTTCTCAGGAGTCCTGGCTGCAGGTTTTTTTGGACTCTTGTCTGCTTTCTTAAAGAAAGTATCCAAGAAAGTTTGGACAGATGTTCTCCAGGGAGATGAGTGACACGGTGAACTTGTTCGCTGGTGTGGCATCACATCGGATCAAGTGTTGTAAAGTCAAAACTGATGTCATAAAGTTGAAACAGGGTGTCAGTTTATAAACAAGTGTGAAACGTTGTAACTCGAAATGTTGTAAGTTGAGGACTGCCTGTATTGCTACAGAAATCATGCAGAGTAACTGCTTGTTTCTTTTGTTTGATTTTTATGCTGCTCTCTCCAAAAAAGCTCAGAGCAGCTTACAATAAAAACAGATAAAATAATAACACAGAACTACAAAGAATACCTAGCCAACCCCTCCCCACAACGGACTAGAAGGCTTCCCAAATAAAAAAGTCTTACACTGGCTCTGGTGGGCCTCAAGGATGGGGAGAGATCCAGAGCTTGAGAGCAACAACTAAGAATGACCTCCCACATGTTTTGGCTAAGTAAGCTTGGCAAATAGATGGTACTTGCAGGAAGTTGCTTTTGACTGACCTTAGGGATTGTGATAAAACATAAGGGAGGAGGCAGTCCCTTAAGTATGTAGGACAAGGGCGGGCAATTATTTTGGGCAACTCTTGCTAGCTGTGGCCCCAGTCTCCTTCAGCTGGCTTTTACAAACCAGAACTGGCGTGGATCCAATTCACAGCTGGTCTCACTTTTGTTCCTGTCATTGGCAATATCATCTCTCAGAATAGTATTTCAGGTTTATTTATAGGACTGTGATAGGGAAGCAATCTCAATTTATAACCAGGAAAATCTGTAAGTTATTGAGACACATGTAGAATCCAATAAAGCCATTTTAAGAATCTAGATTTTAAGAGCAGTAGCAAACAAATGCTGCTTGTATGTTATAATGGAAAAGACAATTGGACCATGGATAGAATCTGATCATCTGGAACCTGTCTCAGAAGAGGTGAAATTCCTTTTATTTTCATTCTCTTTGAGTAACATGCTATGTGAATATGTCTTAACACAGGCCAGTGACCTTGAATAATGGCAGGCCCAGCTGCTACAGTGAGCTGCCATTTACCTTCCTCCTTACCCCCCACCAGTACACTGCAGACAGAGACAATGCGGGGTCACATCTCAGTAGCCCCAGCCTCCTCATCAGCTTCCTTTTCCCTCCTTGAGAGACATCACTGCTGCAGGGGAAGCTGTCGTTTAGTACAGCAGCTGCCAAGTGTGGATCCTGTGGCAACCCCTGCTATAGCTGCTTCCAGTTGCTGTTGAGGGGGCAATCAGTAAAAGTAAATTCCGTGGTGAGATAGGCAGTGGCTATAGTATGGTGTCTGGGGTAACCCTCTAGCTGCTGGCCACACCAGCACCTCCCACCTACAGCAGCATCTTCCTCAAGGTGGGGAGGGAAGGAATGGGAGGCTGATGAGGGCATCAGGGCTACTGGGATGCAAGCCCCCAGCTGTGGGGACTCTCCTCTGGGTGAGATTTAGCCCATGGGCCATAGGTTGCCAACTGCTGCCTTAATGTATGCTTTTTCTCTCACTGCTGACAGAAAGAAGAACGAGTCCGTGGTCATACAGCAATTGTCACAGCTCGCTGCAAATGGCTAAGGAAGAAAATTATACAGGCAAAGGAAAGATTGAAACAGGCAAGTAGCGCACAGAAATAGTCTTACGGCAGGTTGATGCTTAACCTGGCTGAGTTCGGCAATAATTAGTCAAAAGACTAAAAGGATCTTAGAAATAGAAAAAAAATAGAATAAGATTTGCTCTCTGAATAGGGTCTTTTTTGGTTTGTTTACCATCGAGCAGAGTTTTAGAATCACATCTTCATGTCATTAGATCCCAGGTTTCCTTCAGCATGGAGCTTAGGGTATGTTTGAGAGTAGGCAGGGGACATAACAGGACAAGGCCAAAACATGTTGCACTCACACTAATCAAGGAAGACCAAGGCAGAAAATTAAGGAAAAAAGGGATATGCATTCAGTCTAGGGATTACTTAAGTAAGCCAGATGCTTTCATATGAATGGGGTTTGATGAAGTTACGCCTAAAGTATTCAGTCAACTGGCTGAAGTAAAAACACCTTACAAAAACAAGTCAGGTCACAAAGGGACGACAATGGTAAAATCCGTGTCACAAACCCCAGGAACAATGTAAAGCCATTGTCTTGCACTAGTATTATATTTCATGTACACTTATAGACATAGTTCATTCTCTGGTAAATCCGGACTTCTTCACCCCAGCCTTGAAGGGTCACCCAGACAACCTTAGCTTATTTTATATTGCTGCTTTTTTTTATCCCATTAGAAATCTAAGCAAGAGATTGAAGAAGAGGGACGAGAGATGTCCCAGAAGGAAGGAGTAGGTGGTAATGTTAAGCCATGCCGCCAGCAGCCGCTGCTGGAGGTGACTATCCGGGAAGCTGAAGCGCAGCCCTTTGAGGTGCTCATGCAGTTCCTGTACACAGATAAAATTAAATATCCACGCAAAGGTAAGACAGCAGGATGAGGACTGTGGTGTAAGCCCAAAAGACAGCTGTATTGGAAATAACAAAAACTGGCTACTAATGAGCAAAAATTTATTTATTTCCTTTCAATTTAGAACAGTAGCAGGTGTTCACAGGCAAGCCCTAAGAATCTACCAAGATATTTATTTCTGTAATTTTAAATAAAACTTTAATCAGCCCATAGTGACTAGCACTTCTGACAGGAGATGGTACTAATCTCCTAATTCTTCTCAGGGACCAGGATAAAATGAAGGGGGGGCATTCTTCCAGCCCTAAAATTCAGGCTATTTTAGACAAGTGTGGGAGGACATTCCCTAGCTTGTACCTTTATAGAGAGTGCCCTGCCACCTGCTGATTTTCTAGTGTGTTCAGTGAGATTTATAATTGGCACCTGCACTGGCTGCAACTATGCCATGGTATCACAGGGACAGAGTTGCTTCCTGGGAAAACTGGTCTCAGGCTCTATCTGAGCATTTATTTTGCCATTGTAGGGCAGTGTAGTTCAGTGTATGGAGCAGTAGCCCTGGATTCAGGATCCTGGGTTCTGTTCTTGGTTCTGCTGTTGTTCTGCTGGGTAAGCTTGGGCAGGTTGCTTTGCTTCTCTGTTCTTTGCTATTCTCTGAAAAATGAATATAATCCAGTTTGTGTTTTGTGGCATAAGGGTGAAAAGACTTAGGCAATTTCTGTAGCTCAGGACCATCAAGTTAAAAATTCATCTGAGCCTTTGAATCCTCCTTTAGTCCAAGAAGAAGTAGATCCCCATTGGCAAGCTTAATGTCACAGCCAGGTCAATGTGAAGCCCAGGCCCAAGTTCAGTAGCTCAACAAAAGTATTCTCTTCCCATGAGTGTGGATCCTGAACCACAACCGTTCATGTAGTGTTCTTAGAGGGATTACCCTCAAAACACAAGTTTACTTCCAGTAGAATGCCCTGCTTTCTGTCCATTTGCAGACTAATATGACTAATTCCCTCTCTCTAGTGTAAGTGAGGATAGAATTTAACCTGTGACAGGTTATTTTTGGAAGAGCATTTGTTCCATAAGAAGATCCTCTTGCATATAGAGTAAATAAGTGATGAGAAAATTATGGAGACTGCTAAAGTAAAGAAGAAACTACTTTTTAAATAGTAGGGTTCCAAATTCTGAGATGTGCTGGGTACTTTAATTTCCCATTGCAGTGAACTGAATTTCCAGATGCTCAGCAGAAAGAGACCACTCCAGGCCGACCCACTTTAAATACGATTATGGTGCTGAAAGATGTTCAGCAGGCTAGTCTTGCCCATAACGTTGTAAAAAAAAAGCTCTTTTTTTTCTCCACTTGGACCATCTTATGACAACTCCCTGCTTTATCTGTCACTATCTAAGCTAACCAGGAGCCTGTGAACACTCCACAGCCCCCAGTTCTTGCTGCAGTTTTCCCCACCTCCTGGGTTTCCAGTACCACTTGGCAATAACAGTCTCAATCATACCCCAGCCCCCCTTCATTTTAGGAGTAGTAAAAAGTGGGAGACTTAAAATTTCACCAAGGGAGCATAGTTTTTTTGCTGCTAGCCCAGGGAGAAGAGAAATAGGAGGATCTCCACTCTGAAAAGCCTTTGCTAGATCATGTCATCCCAACACACAAAGCCACTAGGCCTCCATGAGAAACAAGGCACTGACTGGCAAACCTACCCACCATGAGCTAGGGCTTTTTATATTGGGGAAACAGTTATGGCAGATAGGCAGGGCTTTCCCAGCACAGAACTTTTGCTGTCCAAGGGAAGGAATGTCCTTTCACTTGATCTTCCCAAAAGCTCTGTTTCTTCCTTGCTACCTATACCTTCACTATCTATGCTTTCCTTCTTCCCCCAAGATTATACCGGCTTCTCCATGAATCCCAAACCCTTACAAGTCATATGTCCTCATGTCCACACTGAGTCTGTTTTAATGGGGATCAGTCAGAATCAGCGAACCTATTGTGAATGAGGCAGAAACACCAGTGACGTCAATCAAAACTGTTGGGTGTTCCACACTATTAAAAATTAGACCACTTACTTGGGCACCTGTGTGTGGATTTAGGATCTTAAGTTAAAGCTCTAGTTTTGTTTTATTATTAAGTTTTGCCCCAGGATGTTCCAAAAATTTAGTAAGGCCAGAAAAGGGCTTTTTTACCTCATCAGCTTTGAAGGACTTTTCATTGACTGGTGCTTACTACTCCCTGATCTAATCTAAACTGAAGTTGATCTTCTGTAATAAAAGTACTTTGTTAATTGCCTTTGGTTCTGCTGTTCTAATTACTCAAGATGGCATTGGAAGTTACCTTAAGAAAATTCTTAACCTGCTTAGATCTCTGAATAGTCTCATATTCGGGGTCTCTCCAGAGCTGTGAAAGGATACTGTTTTCCTTTGTGATTTACAGGTCATGTGCAGGATGTTCTTCTTATCATGGATGTGTATAAACTAGCCCTGAACTTCAAGCTCTCTCGACTAGAACAGCTCTGCGTCCAGTATATTGAAGCATCTGTAGATCTCCAGAATGTGCTCACTGTGTGTGAAAATGCTAACAAGCTTCAGCTAGATCAGTTAAAGGTAAATCCCTATTTACAGAGTAACTGATCAAATGTAATGAATAAAGTATCAAGAGTAGTGGATGTAGACACTGGTTACAAATGTTACCACATAATGCTGTGGGTTTTAAGGTGATCTGACTGTGTAGCTGGAAGCATTTATTAAAAGAAATTCCTGGATGCTTGGTATTGGCGGAGAAAGTTGATTCCTTACTTATAGACATGTCTCTCTGAGCTGAAGAGCTCTAAAAACCCCTTTACCTAAAATACCTCACCTACACTTAGGAGATATGGCTGGTTCTGGTGAAAGTTTCCAGCTTTCTTAAACTCGTTTTTTTTTCTCTGCAATCACAGTTCTTTGAATATATATCCATGTAGATCCCACTGTAGGGGCTAGTGCAGCTCATGTATGTACAATCAAATTTTTTAATAGAAGTATTTATTTGGATTGGTGTGTACAGCCTGTGCTACCTCATGCTCCTGTGCCTGCTTATAAGTGGCAGAGTGACCTCAGTTCCCTCTTACTTCTCATTGCAGAGAGATGGAACCAAAGGTGTTTCCATCCTGCTGCACTCTGCAGAGATCTTGAAACTGGTTCTTCAACCCATTCAGTGCAAAATTTTGCTTTCATGCTTTTTCTTTCAACAATGTACCTTAAAAAAAGGTGGAAAGGAGAATTAATTGGCAACTCAGGAAGATACTGGCATATTTTGCACCCAGGATACTTGAGTGCAAGCCATAGGCTATGTGGCTCAGTGAGAAGGTTGATAGCTTGGAAAGGAGGGGACCCTTGGTTTAGCCCAAGTCTTTGCTCCCAACAAGTCTGGAGCTCCCTCTAGCACTGTCCTCTATCATTTTTCCCCCACCAGTATTACTGGTTCAGCTTCAAGAGGAGCACCAGAGAAGGGACTAGATAATGCTTGATGATTACAACGATATGTTGGGAAATCAGACACCCAGGTTCAAACCTACTCTGGGCCAAGTGAGCATAGAACAGGGTCTTTTGGATTTCCAGGGTAGTTCTCTTGCCATTCAGCTATTGTGGGGAAAAGCTGGTAATTCTCCCTCTCTCACTCTGTTGCCAGTACACATGTCCAGTCTGCATGACTGCATAGTTGTACACATGCTCAGTGGTACACATCCAGGGGTAGAATTCCACTGGGTGCAAAGGTGTCGAAATGCCTTATAGATGACCAAACCTAGATTCTTAGCTATCCATGAAGGGAATATTATTATAATTTTTAATTAAAGAAAAATAATTTTCCTATTTTGTCTTTAATCCTCTCATTTCTGATTTAATGTCAGAAAAAGCATTCAGTTAGGAAAAGATTTTGAAATGAAAGCTTTGTAATTGTTTTTCTTGCGGTCTGTATAAAATGATAGGATTTCAGATGGGACACCAATGACTTTTTCATTCTTTAAGGAACATTGCCTAAACTTTGTGGTGAAAGAATCGCATTTTAATCAAGTAATAATGATGAAGGAATTTGAACATCTTTCCTCATCCCTGATAGTGGAGATAGTACGGAGAAAACAACAGCCTCCTATTCGAATGCATTCTGATCAACCTATTGATATAGGTAAAGTAACTTCCTCATTGCTCTAAAAGTTGCACTTTTTTTTGACACACTAATATGATTAGGACCTGTCTCTCTCTGTTACTGCCCATTGGTTATGCAGTCAGTATAGCCTCATTATTGCTTCCTGCTAGGTGTAGACAAGGATATGTCATTATCCTGATTAAAGCGATTTTCATGTTGTGAATGTCCAGCTGTTATTTTTATCTGCTGTATCTTAGAAACGATACCAAGGACTCCTAAATGCTCTGGAAAAGCTGCAGCTAGTACAGAATCCAGTGCCCCAACTCTTTAGGACATTGATGTGTTATGCTGCTATTTTCTATATTGACTCCTGCATATTGGTATCACAGACATTTAATGGGACAATTTCCATGACTAGAATATCAACATACTTTGCTTTGGAAGGGTAGATCTGGTTAAAAAAAAATAAAAAAAAAGGAGGTGGTACTGTACTAGACTTTGGACAGAGCCTTGTAATAGGTGCTAGTTACTGTCTGAGCGTCTGAGTCCCAATTGCCAGGCCTTTTTATACCACCGTACCTTCAGTCTTGGCTGCAGCACTGGTGCCAGTCATGGATTGGCTTTCGAGCAGGCTTCATAGCTGCCTTGGACTAAAGAACAGCTGACATCACTTTCTCCCATCCCCTCCCACTCTTGACCCAGGCATTATGTTGGCTGCCCACACAAAGGGAGAAGGACCTGGCCAGCCTGTAGGCCCTACAAAGCTGGTAAACCTCCCCAAGCTGGTACCACTAAAGGCACCCTTTGGCGTTGCTCTTGGGGAAGCATGGTTGGGATTTGCTGGAAGATTTGCTTACGTACGGTGTTTAGTCAGGGAAATGATAGTTGCAGGGAGGGGAAGTTGGAGTTCTCAAGTTTTGGGGTATTTGAAGAATTCTATTAATGGGTTTTTTTCTGTTTATTGTAAGCTACTCAGAGTCTTTTTGGATAGGTCCAGGATATAAATCTAAATAATTAGAAGGCCCAGTTGTGATGACTTGTCTAGAATGCATGCTGGATGTTATTATTTACCCAGATGGCAAGGGGGTCTATTATCTCTTCCCACCTCAGGTTGGTACAGTGCCATGCAGATGCAGCAGAAGAAGGTGGCACAAACTAATGGTGGCCTGCTTCAAAATGGTTCATGAAGCTGTTCCCAGACAGTAGAAATTGAGTTTTCAGGGTGCATATCTAAGAAAATAAGGGCACAACGTGGCCTTGTCACCTGGCACTATATAGCAGAGGTCAAAGGGCAGGCAGGTCCTTTAATCCGAGAGCCATGGAGATTGGCGTGAGTACCAAGAAGAGGCTCCTTGAAGCAGTAGAAGGGGTGGGAAGGTGCAGTGTGGGATGCAGGTGGATTGACCAACTGCCTAACATGCTCTGCTGGAGGTTGGAAACATGTTGTATTTACTCAAATAGAAGACAACCCTGTTCATAAGATGACCCCCCAATAATTAGATTCTATATATGGGAAAATTATAAATTTGTTATAATTTTCCAGGTATAGAATCTAATTATTGGAGGTTTTACTTGAATTTGTCCCCTCTCATTGCTACAGCAGGAAAAATAAATCTGGGAATCAGGTAACCCTTTGCTTTCTGCTTCCCACCAACTTTTTTCCCTGGCAGCCCCTTCTCCCTCTTTTTTTACTGCCAGACTGTGCTCTCCTTGAACATGTGGAAGTGAGGAGCAAATTTGAAAACAATAACCTTAAATTAAACGTGGCTGTATCAATTTGCATATAGCACTTAGTAGATCCAGAATTGATACGTTACCTTTTCTTGAAACTGCTGCAAATTTTAGCACAGGTACTCCATAAACACACTTTTGAGTAGCACTTTGGCACCTAATTATATGTAGTACAAACTATGCCTGATATTAGTCCAAAGTCAAAGGCTTATACTTTACCACATAGTTCATTAGACTGGGCCCCACCAGAATCAACAGCATCCAAAGCCATGATGACCCTGTAACTCAGCACTGCTGAGTGTGTGTCTGTGTACTCCAGATACCTCCCACAAAGGAGCCTTGTGCTAATTAGCTCCCACTCCTGCCTGGAAGTGGGTGTTCTTGTCACAAATCCTTGGGATGCTCCAAAAATGTATATGCAAATGAGGTACAGGGCAACCTGGTCCAGCTTCACCTCATGGAGGGCAGGACCACACTAATCATGTGCACCAGGCTGAGAGAGGGACTGATGGAGGGAGTCTGGGTGAACGGAATGCAGTGTTGTGGCTCACCATGACTTGAAAAAGAATCGGTGGTGATGGGGACCGCGTGTAATGGGCACAACCATATGTCTTATTCAGATGGGCTGTACTAACTTGAATTTATGAACATGAGCCTGCAATGCGATGCGGCGGCTAGTAAAGCGACCAAAACGCTGGCTTGCATCCATAGATGCTTCTCAAGCAAATCCCGGGACGTCATTCTCCCCTTGTACTCGGCCTTAGTGAGGCCGCAGCTGGAGTACTGCGTCCAGTTTTGGGCTCCACAATTCAAAAAGGATGTGGAGAAGCTTGAGAGAGTGCAGAGAAGAGCCACGCGCATGATCAGAGGTCAGGGAAGCAGACCCTACAATGACAGGCTGAGAGCCCTGGGGCTCTTTAGCCTGGAAAAGCGCAGGCTCAGGGGTGATCTGATGGCCACCTACAAGTTTATCAGGGGTGACCACCAGTATCTGGGGGAACGTTTGTTCACCAGAGCGCCCCAAGGGATGACGAGATCGAATGGTCACAAACTACTTCAAGATCGTTTCAGGCTGGACATAAGGAAGAACTTCTTTACTGTCCGAGCCCCCAAGGTCTGGACCAGCCTGCCACCGGAGGTGGTTCAAGCGCCTTCATTGAACACCTTCAAGATGAAACTGGATGCTTATCTTGCTGGGATCCTATGACCCCAGCTGACTTCCTGCCCTTTGGGCGGGGGGCTGGACTCGATGATCTTCCGAGGTCCCTTCCAGCCCTGATGTCTATGAAATCTATGAAACTTATTCTTGTGTATGTTCCCATCTGCATGTTTGCACAATGTGGGCCGTGTGTTTTATAGTCGCGCTTAGTGTGGTCTGCTTTTAATTTGCTTCATAGTTGGTTTCCACTGCTAAGCACATGCTGCTTTGCAGCAGCAGTTTAATTGATACTGTATTTAGTGAGACTCTTTGTATGAGACTATAAGACAAGGGGCTTTTTCTCCCATGCCAATTGGGGGAAAGAAAACCTCGTTTTGTATTTGAGTAAATACAGTAATATGAATTGCTTCATAGAGAAGTGCTTCCAAGATTTTCTTCTTTCTGCAGTGTCGTTTCTGAAGCAGAATGGGTAATTTTTAAGCACTTCATCGGTCAAGTATGTCTGTAGCTTCACTTTTTTGAGCACACTAAAAGCACCTGGGCCACTTCAAATGTTATTTTTGTCCATGCTGTGAGAGAGCAATGTATGGTAAAGACGAATTCACATGGAATGGCCAGCTTGGCAAGTAGGAATGTTACCTAGGGTTGTAAACTGAATGAAGACAATAAGATGAGGAAACATGTAGCTAAGGTTTTGGATAGGTCATCAACACAGAGTTGACATCATGAAATGTGAGAAACTGATTGGAGAGCCCAGGACAGGACTAAACCTGGAGTCAGAATCAGGGAAGTCTGATAGCACTTGGGTGACAGCAGTGTCACCCAAGTAGTAGTCACAAACTACTTCAAGATCGTTTCAGGCTGGACATAAGGAAGAACTTCTTTACTGTCCGAGCCCCCAAGGTCTGGAACAGCCTGCCACCGGAGGTGGTTCAAGCGCCTTCATTGAACACCTTCAAGATGAAACTGGATGCTTATCTTGCTGGGATCCTATGACCCCAGCTGACTTCCTGCCCTTTGGGCGGGGGGCTGGACTCGATGATCTTCCGAGGTCCCTTCCAGCCCTGATGTCTATGAAATGTGAAAGGGGAGATCAGAAATGAATTGGATGCAGTAGAGTTCAAAAGAAGAGGGGAAAATGGGAAGGGAAAGAATGAAAG